GGGGGAGTAGTTTACCTCCGGATTGTTTTGTCTCCAGAGGGAACATCTCGCATACATGGTCTCTGTTTTTGGAAAGAGACTATCCAGGAAAAGTGATAAAATTATAGTTTTTCCATTTGCTTTCCACATGGCAGTACAGCAGCCGTTCAGACCACTCTGGTCACGCCTGTTGCTATACGAACTTGAACCATCTCGAGTATCATTTGCTCTGTGCTTCAAGTCGCTACTGATGACGCTGCTTCCGGTATCAGTTTTTGGTGTCTCTCTTCATCTGATGCCTACCCTTTGAACTGTCCAGCAAGGGAGGCCCTGCCAGTAGCTACTCTACCGCTGGTATAGCTCTCAGGGTCCTTGGCATACTCAAACCCCCTCACCACGATAAGGTGGTATTATTATGTATGTATATAATAGTTATTGGGGGCGCGCAGTACTGTAGTTGGTTGAGGCACTGTGTTACAAGCCGAAAGGTTGCAGGTTCAAGTTCCAATGAGGTCATTGGATTTTTTTCAATTGACCTAATCCTTCTGGCCACACTATGGCCCTGGGGTTGACTCAGCCTCTAACAGAAGTGAGGACCAGGAATATTCTTGGGGGTAAAGTGTGGCCAGCATGTAGTGGTGACAACCTTGGCACCATCTATGAGCCGATTGTCTAGAAAATGTGGGAACCTCAACATCTCACAACCCTATTGGCCTCCATAGCCTGTTACAAGGATACCTTTACTTTTTTTTTACTTATAATTATTATTAATTTGTGGATCAGAAGTTTTAACATATTTATTTATTTGCTTTTAACAATTCTCATGCAAGAAAAATTTATATATTTTTTCAAGATTAAAATTCTGTTAAAGTGTATTTTAAGGATACACAAGTTTGGGAATTTTAGAACAAAGACAATTAAAATGAAGTCTGGGGGAAAATGTCATTTTAATACATAGTGTTCTGAAATATGTAATAAATTACAAATTAGTGGCAACATAAGTTTACAATACTTTCAGTAAAAGAAATTAAAATGTTCTCTTAAAAATAACATCAGTTTTCACAATTAAACAGGTTAGCAGCTAAAGTATGCCACAGTTATGTTGTGTCCATTATTTTGAAATGTAAATAATAGTGCCAGAATGTGTGTGATGTGAGCTTGTTTGTCATCATGGGGTATTACTGCACCTAATGGTCAAAGTAGTTCCCTTCTGCTGTCACACATTCCTGCCAGCAGTTGTACCACTGCTGGAAGTGACCCTGTTGGCCTTTTTCTGCAGTCTCTGTAAGTGGTGTTTTAGCCTCTTCTGCTGATTTTAAACTGCTTCCCTTTAAGAAGATTTTCATTTTCAGGAGCAAGCAATATTCTACATATGGAGAATAGGAAGGCTGTGGAAGCACAGTGATGCTGTTCTTGGTCAGATACTCCTGTACCAAAAAGACAAACTGGCAGCTGTCATAGTGAAGCAGCAAGTGTGCATGTTCCCAGAGATGAGGGCATTGTTGACATTGTGATTTTCCTGCTGGGATATCTCAAACAGACAATCCTCATTAAAAGCAGCTGCTGGCCTTCCTTTCCACAAATCATGATCCGGTGATTGTTGGCCCTCGATTTTGGTGCAGCAGGTGATGAAAACAAAATGTTCTTGAGGAAACAGGCTTCAGTGTCTTTCATGCTGTCTGTACACTGAGTGCACATGCCAGTCTAAATCTTTGCTCACATCTTCCTTGTATAACTGCAAATGCTCAGATACCAAAACTGACCTAATAATGCTTCAATTGGTGGCTGTTAAAAAAGTTCACATACTTTCTGAATCTATTGTGTGATTCCTTATACAGTGCCAAAATTCCAGGATGTGATGATTAAAATAGAACACTGATTTGCGGTAGCCACAAGGAAGACATGTTTCTGTGAATTTCTAAGTTAATGATGTGTCAGCAATGTATGATATCAGATCAACAGCTCTCCACTGAAGCATAATATATTACCACAATTTCAAGGCAATGTTACTAGTTTACTGTTAGATTTCAAATTTTTATTTATAAGGACTTACTTCATCCTATGTTTTGTATAGGTGCAAAGTTTGGTCTGTCATGAAACAAAACTGGAAGTGTGTAATATTGAGGAACTGATAAAAACATTATGGACTGAGACAGTGTTTCATACTATCCACCTGATGTAGTGGGCTAATTGTATGAAGGAGGTTAAGGTGAGCCAACACATGCAAAGTTGGAACAACAAAGACTGAATGTGTGGGTAATAAAACTGACCATACAAAAGTAAGTTGTGATTATGCAGACTGAATTCTTATGGCTCAAAATAATTTCATGTTTGGCTTTCCTGTTGCCTGAAACTTAGGGTGCCATAACAGCAGTATGATTGACTCCATGTTTCATATTAAGTGGGCATCACAGATTTTAACACCTAAGTTGCTTGTGGCAGAGGATGGTGATAAACTGAAATAATTACATGTAACTATGTAATGAATATATGGAAATTTTGTTCATAAATGTATATTATTTTATGTTGTGGCAGTGATATGTAGGAAGCATTAAGTATAGATTTCACTTACCCCACTTAAGTAGTAATATATGGGTAACATGGAGGGGACAAATACTATAATGTTGACTGCCATTATGTATATGTATTTATGAAACCAAATGTGTTTCACAAATTTAACGTCGGAATATACGATTAATATGAGAAACTTTTTTTTTTTTCACTTTTATTATTAAACCCTAATTGTATGTGTAATTGCCCTGTCCCAATGCAGTATGTATGAAGCAAAGATCTGACAATATGTAGAATGTTATTTGAATGCATCCAGTACTATTTTCATGAAGTACTAAGAGACAGAACCCAATAATGTACCTTACATGACCTCATAAATATTAAAACTGGAAATTTTACTGATTCATTGCAAGTTTTCTTCTAACTATTCAAACATGGTTATTAGAGAACACATACCACTATAAATAATAATTATGTTTGATATGTAGACTTTTAGGAGTCTGAGTCTTGAGTTCTGAGAAGGAACTAATATGTTTTACAAAAAAATCTTGAGGTCATTAGTACTCTCATTTCAATAGAAAAATGTATAACTCTGCCGTTTCAGTGGCATTCCTTTTGCTGTCAGACCTCCTGTATTTCCAGTGATGCCAACTTTTGGTAGTATTTTCAGTGAATTTACTACTTGTAATGACTCATAACATTCCAAGTTCCAAAATTCATGTCAGCTTTTTATTGCTTATGTTCCAAAGCATTTGTCCAAGTAGCCTGACAACTTATGTAACCTGGAGGACCACCTCTTGCTAGATGTCTGTGACTAATTACTCCAAGATATTTGCAGCTACCCTCTGTATCTAGAGGCCACATCCATCATGCAGCAGTGTGAAGGGACCCAAAGTAGTATGGTTTGCATTCCATGGCAAAGAGATTTGTATCAGCACAGGTGTAAGACTGAGATAAATAATCTATATAAAGACAATTTTTACAGTCCTCATATACTTCATTTTATAAGTGTGAATATGTGACACATATTTCTGAACTTCAGTTCTTACAAATATAACTTGTCAGAAATAAAAATTTCATAAAACTGTTTTATTTCATTTTTATTATAGCTAACAAACAGTGACATTTAAATGTTACATAAATAATTATAGCTTATTGCATTATTATTGAAAAAACTGCTGTTACTTATTAATTTTACATTAATACAACTTTTAATCATGTGATAAAAGTGAAAAAGCTAGTACACTGTACACCTTCTGAACACTACCAAAGAAAGTGAAGAGAAGTATGCATTTGTAAGGATCTACTTTAAACTTCTAAACAGGCAACAGTAGCTGCAAAGAAGTTTGAGTCTTGCAATAATCTTCTGGAAATGTCACCTAAGTTCTATGAATCTAAGCAAAAAAAAAAAAAAAATCAACCAGTTTGTTTCTCGAACAGCTTTGTGAGTTATAATTCCACAGCCGTTATAATAAAACCCAACAGATGACCAGACTTCTCTTGAGTATTACCAGTGTACACTGATGTGGTCACCATCTTCAACAGAATAAAAGGAGAGTTCCATCAAGTCCCTGTCTAATGGAAATTTAGAATCAGGATCCTGAAAGAGACCAATACAATGAATTCTACAACTGCAACTGTTAAAGTGAAATATTCTAATATCAATATTACTATTAAGGATATAATATATGACAGTGGTTTGTTAAGGCTTGTGTTCATTTTTTGGTGATGATACCCTCTCACGCTGTGGGCTAGTTTGTTAGTGTTTCAGAGGAATTAGTAGTACTCAGCTTTAGGATGAAGTGATGGGCAGTAGATATATAACTATCTTCATTTTTTTCAGTCATACACTTTCTCCAGAATACAGGATAATGCATTGAAATTGTTGGTTACATATACAGAAAATATGAATTCTCTGCATCTCCATTAACCAATACTGTATGAGAATGGATCAGCTAACAGTCACTTCACCTTAGAGATGGATAAAACATTTCTTCAAAACGTTTGTACTCATACATATATCACCTGGCAGAAGCAATGAAAGTTGTGTTTTATTGTGTCATTAATTTTATGGCACTGTTAGTATCTCAGACTATATTGCAACAAATGGTAAGGCAATTGTAAATATTGAATGGAAATAGTCATGACAGCTGAGTGAAATCCTGGTATTTGCCTGGAGGGACTGACCCCCCGCTATCCTCCTATTTTAACAGAGTCCTGCTTTGCTTGCTGTGTGCTTCATGTTGGTTTCTTGTTTGGCTCACTCCTCAATCCTGAAGATGGAGGTGACATGTTCCTGCAAAACATGAGGTGACTCAACAGACAACTCATTTAATAATGTGCATCTAACCTTTGAGCTGATATATACTAATTTTGGGATTTTAGTCCCTGTATTGAACAGCCGTTGGGCCAAGCCAATCAAATTCTGGACACGCATGGACTGTGGTACTTTTTTTCTATATGATTTACCACCATGGTCTGGACAAAAAATGTTAACAGCTGAAAACAACTATTAAGGAAAATATCAGTATGTTAACAACAAGAAAGTCTGGGAAGAATTAATCACCTACTTTCCTTTAATTGTAATTTTAGTACTGAACACAAGCAGAAAAAAAACTTTAGTACGTATGTGTAATGAAGTCGCTGCAGTGTTGGTATTACTGGTGTGTGATTTATGAAGTACACCACTGAGACAGCCTCAGGTGACATGATATACATACCAGGTTTCATGAAGATTGGTTTGGGCATTCAGATAATATTGTCATATGTATTAGTGACTGTAGATGGGGTTTGGATTGGTGAATAGATTTAGTGGACACTAACAAGTCGTAACTACAAATAACTGTAACACTCTAAAGATTGCTATAACACACAAAATAAAATCTTTGTTTGCTTGCTAGTCATTGCTTAGTAACGAATGTTACCCGCTTATCACTTCAGCTGAATACTCAGCTACTGAACTGCCTTCTGAACTCTCTTATGAATGAACCTCTGACTGAACTGAATTAATGAATGAACTCCCTTTTATACCTGCAAGAGAACCGAATAGAGATCACCACCTCTAAGGGGTTCCATTACTGTTCTTCATGAATGCACTGTCTCAGAAACTGTGTTCATTCCAAAGCAATGGCTTAGTTTGTGTTTGCAATTTTAGTTTCCGTATTCATGGAAACCATGTTCTGTAATCAGTTGGTTTCCATGGATCAATCTCTCCATGGCAATGTGTCTCCCCATTTGTTTCCTAAAAATGGCCCACATATCACAATACTCGTATTAAGGTTATTATCTCCACAATCTGAGAGGCTGCAGTGTTTGTATTACTAATGGAAGGATTTAAATGTATGCCATTGAGATGAACTCAGATGGCACAACATATACATACTGTGACATGTTGCGCAATGGAGGACCCCTACCTCCCCAGCGGCACGTGGCGGTAACGTAACGCTCTCGTTACTACTTGTCGCGCTACGCAGGACACCACTCCCCCCCTCCCCCCGGCGGTGGTGACGTGCCGAACGGAGCCGAAGTTAGCAGAGTCCCCGCAACCTGGTAGCTATGCAACGCGAGTCAACAGCGGTGACGTCACCAAGGGATATCGCGGTTGCTAGGCAGCAGTCAACAACTATGGACAGCGTTGCTAGTAACACAGCACCAGACGACAATGGTCCGGAACGAGGCTACATAAGGAGCAGCGAATGCTATTCACAGTTAGTTCCGAACAAGCCTACGAGCGAGTGTGTTATCAACAGTTCTCAAGGCAGCAGCCTGCGAGTCGAGTTGAAATATAGCAGCCGTCGCTGAAAGAAGTACCGGACGTGTGTGTAACTGAGAATTAATTGGGAGTGTGATACAGTTGGACTTATATAGCTCCCGTACTGTGAAAACGTGTTGACTACTGACAATAGAGTGAATTGATTATTGCGAATAGGGTTATAAAGTGTAAAACCCCGCAACATTGTTATAATTAATTGTAGCCGTTACTTGTAGATCGTTAAATAAACCAATTAACCATCTCTATGGCATATTCAGTAACGAAACACGTTACAATACTATAGTAGAGTCAATTTACCAGCTACACAACACGTTTTTTATTATCACTATATGTTTCGACCTCAAGAGGTCATCCTCAGGTGTACGAACACAGCTGTATAATTACACGCGGTCACATTCGCTTTTTACTCATTTGACCCTGTATCTTATCCAGACTTACGCTCAATAATATATCAAGTTCTTTTATAAAACACAAGTTAAAATATTATTCTAATTTAATTGTTAAAAGTTAAAATTTCATGAATCGAAGTTCAATTCATGTCACTGGTCACACTTTCACTTATACCTGTTTTACAGTCTCATCCCACTCACACTCACCACTGTGTCCAGTTCTTTCTAACCAGTTTAATTATTATTATCGGTTAAAAGTTCGTGAATTAAAGTTTAACTTATTATGTTGGACACAGTGGTGAGTGTGAGTGGGATGAGACTGTAAAACAGGTATAAGTGAAAGTGTGACCAGTGACATGAATTGAACTTCGATTCATGAAATTTTAACTTTTAACAATTAAATTAGAATATATTTTAACTTGTGTTTTACAAAAGAACTTGATATATTATTGAGCGTAAGTCTGAATAAAATACAGGGTCGAATGAGTAAAAAGCGAATGTGACCGCGTGTAATTATACAGCCGTGTTCGTACACCTGAGGATGATCTCTTGAGGTCAAAACATGTAGTGATAATAAAAAACGTGTTGTGTAGTCAGTAAATTGACTCTACTATTGATTAAACACACAACAGGATGCAAGAAACGATTAAAGATATACATACTATGTTTCATGATGACTGGGTTCAAGAATTCAAGTAATATTATGGGTGTTACCTCACAAATTTGAAAGGCTATATATAGTATTGGTATTACTGATGAGAGGAATTTATGATGTACACCACTGAGATGGCCTCAGGTGGCATGATATAAAGTTTCGTGAAAATTGGTACAGGCATCCAAGCAATATTAAGGCTATGTCTCAGAAATCTGAGACGCTGCAATGCTGGTGGTACTAATGAGGGATTTATGATGTATGTTGTTGAGATGGCTTCAGGTGGCATGATATACTTAACATGCTGTATGAAGGTTGGTATAGGTGTTCAAGCAATATTAATGTTTTTCCTTAGAAATCTGAGAGCCTATAATGTTAGTATTAGTGATGGAAGGAATTTATGACGTGCTGCTGAAATGGGCTCAGGTGGCATAATATATATACCAAGCTCCATGATGATCGTTTCATGCACTTTAGTAACATTACAGTTATTACAACTATTTGAGGGGTTCTAATGTTCGTATTACTCATGGGATTTAGGAATTACTCTTGAGATGGTCTCAGGTGCCATGATATTGTGACATGATGCCTGAAAGACCGAATAGTTCAATGCTAGACAACAGCTGACTACAAAATTAACATGTGTTCCTGTGGCAACAGATAGACAGGGAATAGTCCATTGCTAGACAACGGCTTGCTAAGACATGTATCTGTGACTATAGGCATGCAATAATACATGAACTGTTCGAGGTGGTGATCTCTATTTGGTTTGCCCCAAGTTATTAAAGGGGGACATGTAACTGATTCAAGAGTTCAGTTCAGTTCATTTGTAGTTCAGTCATTCATTCATCCTTAGTGGTTCATGACCAATTTGTAAATCAGAACCAAATCAGTCACAGTGGAAGAGAAGACACTTGTAGTCCAGTAAGGAATGGAGCGAGTCTTAGACAGTCATCAATTGTGAGTAGTTATAATTGATTGTAATTAAGAGTAATTGTAAAGAAGTGTCAATAAATCCAATCATCCAATCCAGAACCTGCTATTATTAGTCATGGAACCCTGGACACATGACAGTATATATTCCAAGTTTCAAAATGATTGGATCTGGCATGCAAAAGTTGTTAGGGGGGATACACAGACAGTAAGGTGATATCATAAGCCTACTTTTATTTTTTCAAAATAAGGAAAGTATTCTAAAAATATATGGTGTAAGTTTTGAAAGGATACTTATCAGCTTTGTACGTGATATGTTTGGAGTCTTGTATTCCCTTACATCTGGAGCACCATACTCTGGAAAGTAAAGTATGAGGTCTGGATCACTAGTTTCCATCAGATTAAAAAAAAAAAAGTAAAACAAAATGAGAAACTGATGTACATATATGTACAGCATTTCTGGCACATATAATGGAGAATATCATCAGTCCTACCTCAAACACATGCACATATACTAATCTGTGATGTTTAAGTTTACAATCATAATGATAACCACAAAAGGAAAATGTTTGGGAAGACTTGTGGGACAATGGAAGAATTCTACTTTTTTATATCCATAATATGTCTTACTTGGTCCTACAGGATGACAATTTATAATGCGATATTTTAGAAGTCCAGAATAAGCAGATGTCCTCTAATTTCATCTTCTCTTAAAATCAAAACAACTTCAATTACCCATACATTTAGAATCTTATGTCACTCTTCAGTAGCTTCTAAGTCACTGTTTTACTACTTCCAGCTATGTTGGATATGAGGTTCTTATAGTGATGACTGTACAGAGTTCTGTCTTCTGTAATACTGTGTAGTCTACTACACATGAGTCAACTTCCAGAGGACTAGACGCTGTTGCATCTCAGAGGACAGAACCCCCTCAGTCACTTTTCTAACTTTTCGCACATGTGATTGAGACTCATCAATAATGAAGTATGTTCTCCCTTCCTCTTTCTTACTCATGCATGTATGCATGCTCGCCTATGGATGCACAAATGTGCTGCACGTGTACATGTAACTACTTGCATCTTAAGTTGCTATTTCCAATGAACAGACTGTTTTATACCACAATGTAAATCCAATTCTAAGGTTCCAAATTGGAGTTCCAACTGTTTACTTCTGAGGTACAGAAGGTAATGCCTTGCTTTTAGCGTTCATGATTTGATACTGTTTCATCATCAACAGTTTGCAGTATCATAAATTTCTACCTGATCTAACAATTTTTAAAATGAGGCATAAATGTGGGACTAAGTTTTCCCATATGTCAAATATAAATGCCATATACCTACAAAGGTAAATGCTTTATAATTACATATCACAATAACTGTAAATGGTTAAATTACATATACCACAGAAGCCAGACATGTAAACCTTACCAATCATAAGTTTTTTTTTGTCATCATAAACAATACTTACTATCAACAAGCAGAGGATATCGAGGATGAGTTTGAAGAAACGTGACCAAAGTGGACTTAGGGTTTTTTATATCCAATGGTTTGGCCGCTGTTCCCCATATTACACCATACTTCTTCAAATAATCAATTTCAGCTCCTTTACGTTCGTCGTTAGTGATCACAACTCGATTCAAGGTCTATTCGAAACATTAGAAACAATTAGTTTATCATATAGCTGAAGCGAAAATTGGTAGTTTCATTCACACACACAGTAAAGTCTACATACAACAAAATTCAGGAACCCCATCTATTTAGACTCTGCTATGTGGATTTTTGTTATAACCACAAATTGTAACATTAATAATGCTCAATATTCAGTAACTATTCACCAGTGATATATTTTCCTGCTTTTATTCAGTGAAAAAAGTAGAATATGAATACAAATCTTGTGTTGTATTTTCTCCATTGTTCCATAGACTTCTCACTTTATAATCTAATATGTATGACATTATATACTAGTCTTTTCCTATGAAATTTAGAATTATACATTTTACTTCAGGAATTGTTATACAGAAAACCCCCAATTAAAGTTTCTTTGGGGACCAGTGTATTCAAAAATTAAACTGAGGTGTGTCTTAAATAGAGGAAATTGAATGGTTGAAAACAATTCCCGAACTGTGTGAAACATGTCAGATGTTTGAATGGCTGTTGGTCATCCATTGCATCATCTTTGAGATTTTCATGGCCATCCCAAAATCTTGTATACCATTCAAAAACCCACACACAAGAGAGAGAATTGTCACCATAAGCCTGTTTTATCAGCTGGAAAGTTTCAGTAGCTGTTTTACTCATCTTGAAACAGTACATAACGTTCGCTCTTTACTCCATCACTATGAACTGCCATGATAATCTGCAGAGTACAAAATCTTAAACAAGACTAAGCATGTACAACAAGAGAAGTGACTGACCTTGTGCAAGGAACACGATGGAAGACTCGGCTTACACAGACAATTCCAAACGTGTTACTATACGCTTTTAAATGTTCATAATGGACTCAGTCCCAGAATCTATTTGTCAAAACCTGTTTTTCTATAAAAATTAAGACTTCTAACTCATTCCTGTATTTAAGCATCCTGTTAAATTACTATATCTAATATTGTTAATTTACACAGTTGGTCAACAATGCAACAAATTGTTCCTTTTTTCTTACTTTCATTTTCGAAATAGTCACATATGCGACGAATGGACGATATTAGTGAAGTGTAGCAGTTTAGCACAGTAAGACACCTGAATATGGCCATTTAGGGCTGAAACATGTTGTGTTGGAAATGAAAGTGTAAGAAAGAAGGAACAATTTGTTGCATTGTTGATGGGCTGTGTAAATAAACAGTATTAGTTCTAACTCATTATTCAAGAGTAGCATTTCTTGTCAGCTGTCTTGGTAATTGCTCTATTCTATCTAGCAGGCTAAAGAAATATAATCAATCAATCAATATCCTGAACAACTGAATTTTCCTCAAAATTCATGATGTAAATTTATTTAGTATGACAAATGTGTACAAATTTTGAGTGTCACCTTTCATTAACATATTAAGAACTGAGTGTATACAGAACTAAATATATCCTAAGCCCCGCCACTTTTAAAATTTATTTAAACAACACGATTCAGCAACTACTCATCATATAACTGACAGTGCAAAGTTGTCCAAGCTGAGGAAGAAAACAGGTATACACAGTAATGTTGCTTTTTGTGATGGAATGGGAACTTTGCAACTTCAGTATTGCCTTTTATTTTGCCTTATTCTGTAATTATTTTCCAAGTATGACATGCTGTCTCTTGTTAGAAAGTAAATAAACAGAGCATCAAAATGTATGGAATCCATTTAGACTTGTGTGTGAAAAATAGGTAAAGGAAGAGAATGCAACCCTAATGTTACAGTTCCAATCCTAAACATATTAACCATAAAGAATTTCATATTACCTTAATATTACCAATCCTTGCTATTACAAGTTGCCTAGCGGTTTCTTCATTTTCCTCTTGCAGCACAGGATTTTCATGGAATCCCAGGTCTTCCAGATGAAGCAATTTATCTAGTTCATTAATGGACTCCCACTAACAAAGGCAACATAAAAAATATATATAAAGAACAATGTCTTAAGCATAAATATCCCCAAATTATTATGAAACTCTACTTCATTACAATGGCTGTTGATTGCTATTATCATGAAAGTCATTTACATAAATGGTAATATTAATAACCTGAAAGTACCTATCAAGACCAGTACTAGGTAAACTTCATGGCATGAGGGCCCATTTCAGAAACTCAGTATCTCAATTTCTATTAACTTTGTCAATATCCCATTTTGACTGTAAGCACATGATAATAATAAAATTTTCATTTTATTGCCTACATTTTTATGTTGTGTTCTGAATTCATTATCAACTGACAATAACAACACTTACACCATACCCTTCATATAAAAATTATGAGAACTAGAATTTGGCTAGTGTTGTTCAAGGTACCCTGTTTCATTATGACAGATGTCTTGGGAATGCAAAACATGATACTAGGATGCTTAATTCAAACAATTTTTATAATGCTACCATATCTGCCACATGAGATAAATGGTCAAAACCAGGTATGATATGGCTGCAGTGTTGCAAAACAATGTAATGAATTAATATTTTCCAAAGGCATGAATGCAAATTAAAAATAAAGAATCTCAGCATTAACATAGTTTTATTGAAAACTTACACTGTGTATATTATTTCTTGAAAGATAGAGATGCTTCAGTGTAGAAAACAGCCTTGTTTTCTGTTCAGCTTGAAAGACAGGAAAATAAACTTCACTCACTCCCACATGAGATATATTTAAGTACTCCAAACTGAAACATCCAGATCTACTGCTTAAATCATCTGTTATGGTATAAAGGCATACACTGTCATTATACAGATAAAAAGATAACCTCTCAACTAGTCAAGAAATTCCCTGCCTGTTATGGAACCAGAATGTCTATTACTGTCTCCATTAGAGCTCATCAAGGTCCATAAACAAAGCCAGAAGGATCCAAACTGCATCGAAACTTATATCTTTAAATCCATTTTAATATTATCCTCCCATCTGTGTGAAAATCTTTCAAGTTTTCCAACTAAAATTATGAATGTATCTCCATGATTCACCCATTTCATCCATCTCTGATTTCATCATCCTGATAATAAGCAATGAAGAACACAAAGTAAATGATGATATCTGAGACATTAAATTTTTTTCTGGTGTCTGTATTTTGTTGGTCTTATAATACCCAACATTCACCTCCAACTAGAGCTGAGGCCAAGAAAATGTGTGTCTATACATTCACTCTCCCATACATCTTCATGGTGTAGTGTTTAATTAGTTAAGCACAGGGGCAACTTTACCTTTTTTTACTTTTTATAATATCCAGGAATAATCACAGATACATCATCTGTGCTGATTTCCAGGATTTTAGGATTAGAAGTGGGAAGCTGAATGACAAATATTATTGACAGCCCATTAGAAAAATCTAACATGATAATGGGAATGTACAGTTTGTATCTTACCATGGTAGTGTTCCAAGCTTATTTATTTCTCTCCAGTCGTTAACTGAATTTCCTTCTAAATCAAGAGATTTAACATGCTGCAAAATTTCATCTGGAGGAGTTTCAAGAGTTGTGATGTTATTGAAAGGAACCTGAGAATCACAAAATGAATATATAAACCATGAGAATGGCACACACTACTAACAGCACATCTAAGCATAATTTATAATGAAAAAACTTAAAACATAAAGTAAAAAGTAAAGCTGTCCCAGTAACAGGCCGTGAAGGCCCATAGGGTTGTCAGACTTTGAGGGTCCCACGTTATCTAGACAATCGGCTCAAAGGTGACGGTAAGGTTGTCAGCCTTATGTGCCAGCCGTGCTTTACTCCCCAGGAAAATTATTTAATTAATTCCTGGTACTCATTTCTGTTAGAGGCTGAGTCGACCACAGGGCCATAGTACGGCTGGAAGGATTAGGTCAATGAAAAAAAATCCAATGACCTCACTGGGACTTGAACCCGTGACATTCCTGCTTGTAGCACAGTGCTTCAACCAACTATGCTACCGCATGCCCCAATGAAGAACCTTTGAAATCCTTATTAATTTCTAATACAAAATTAATACCACTTTCACTTTCTTAAAAAAATAACAGAACTGAATATTCAATATCAAAGAGTATACTGAGTTCATATTTCTGTTTTCGAAGGCAAAGACATCTTACATAATCCGCATTCCTCCTCCATAATGATTCGCTCCAAAACCAATCAGCAACATGCTTGTCTACATATCCCATTTAATTTTTTTTAACTGTTTGCATAAATGCAGGATTTGAGGTTCTCACAGTAGTGGTTATGAAGACCGCTATCTTCTGTGACATAATGCTGTGTAGTTCACTGAAAGTCAACTGACGTTTTGGAGGTACATATTGTCTCCATCTTCAAGGTCCATTAATAAGCCAAGCAACAAACCGGCATGAAAGCAGGTCTGGAGCTGAGCCCTGCTCAGTAATTTTCAATAGACTACTCGGCTCTATATCCCTGAAGATAGTACTTTGTTTTCATATAATTTAATATAACCAGGTCTTCACTAAAACCCAACTCTTCTTGATTATTTTCATCTCCCTGTCATTAACTACACTAACCCTCAAGGCGGGAGTGACATTAGTACCATTTAACTTAGTCAGCCCAATCAAATGGTTCTGAAGTTCTCTACATTACAGAACAATCAGGAGCATGAGAACTTCAAGAGTCAGAACAGTATTTTTTTTATTTGAACCCCTAAAATTACTCAGTGCTAGAATTATTAATGACCACACTACAACAGCATCAGTTTATAGGTGCTCCATAAAGTGGTCTCAAATATGGTAAAAGAGCTCGCGCATGCATTGCTGAACGGGGAAGCCATTTCGAACATATGTTGTAAAGACATTATTTGATTTTGCATTTCTAAGATGTAAGGTTATAAACATTAATATTAAGTGCTGTATGTCTTGTAGTTTGTGCATTAAACCAGCAAAATATAATTGCCTAGTGTGATGTGAGCGACTTCTCAGTCTTCCTGTATATAATTTTGTATTTTATTTATTATTTTGTTCTTTTGTTATTACTTGCATGAGAACCAACTCCTCCATGGAGTTGGGTCAAACTCCAGTGCATAAGATTGCTTCATAGAGGCAAGGTCACAAGACTCACTGTTGGAAGGAAAATGTCACAAGTGTCCTATTCTGCTACCAATATTTTCACAATAAGTGTAGATGTACATACATGTTGCAAACCCCATTCTGTGGCTAAGATCTGACAGGAAGTATGGTTTTCAGTCATTTTTTGGTCTTACTAATACAATGCAGATTACCGAATGAGCCAAATGTATGCATTATCCTGTCTCTCTTTTCACTTAAATATTATAACACTATATAATGTAGTTATTTTATAACACAGGCCAGAATATAAATTTTCTTTCATTGTGTTGATGGGAGAAGCATTTAGGAACATGATTTAAATTTGTGACTTTAGAGCTATGGTTATAAATAATTAATGCATATGCATGAGACGTAATTACGGTGTAATTTATTTAGTTGTGTGAGTATACAGATGACTCTAAAACCAACAAATTACTAAACAGCAAGTCTTTCAGAAAAACAAGATACGAACTGTATATTTTGGTATAAAAAATCAAAACATTTATTAATATCCCTTCATGGTAATAAAATTATCTTACTGAAGAACCGAAAATTCCTTCCATAAAACTATACAACTATTTTGGACATTAAATAAACTTTATACACTACATACCTGCAATGTTTCCACAGAGAGCCACATAAGTGCACAATCTAAAATCTGAGACCAAGAATATTCCATTCTACCCATGATAATATGTTCCAGAACTTGGAATGAACCCTGATATATTATTGGCTGAGGAGGAATCTGCATCTGGTTTTCACTGCAACAAATTCAGGAATTCTGTTTTATAAATCTATTGGAAAAGGTGATTTCTCAATGAATGGGTGGATCTAGAGGTAATTCTCTACACCTATAAGTGGAAGGCTTTGTTCCAAGTCTCAGCTGGCACACCAACTATCACAACTGAAGTTTTATGTGTTTCCTCAGTCCCTCTTCAGGCCAATGCCAGGAGAGTACCTTGATTAGGCTATGAACACTTCCTTTAAAATCCTCTCCAGCTCGTCAGCCATTGTTCCATCTGATGCTTTATATAGAGTCATTACATTGATAGCATCATTAAACAACTCGTGGGAAGAAAAATCTTATAGGAATTGTAAGAACATCACTGAATTTCAGTTTTTAAAATTCTCATAGCAGCACACTGAAGAAATAACTCTAAAACGAATTTTGTGGCCTTCCAGTGTCCTAGACTGGTTTTTGGATTGTTTAATAACATTAAACTTTATCATTTCAGAATAGGGGAGCAGGATAAACAGTAACAGTATTGAAAAAGGTGTAACACTTGGCAAAAACATGCATGCATCACTGCAATATCAGGAGACAAGATGATTATGTGTAATTAACACTTTGCGGACTGGCATTTTAATATTTAAATCACCCTGGGGACCGGCATTTTTAAACCTACTACCCTAACTTGTGCACTGTTCACTTTAAAAATTAATATAAAATCTCCTAATTAATTTTATGAACTAAAATTTTTGGAGAACACTTACCAGTGCTCCTAGAAGTGCTCAAGAGTGTGATATTTCTGGAAACATTCCCCTTTGTGAAGTGGCATTACACAGAACTTGCACATGTAGACAGTCATACTCCTTTTGTTGTGTACTGTGCAAACACAGCATCGCCTAGAAGGCTGCTTGACCTTGGCATGTTCACTCTTCACAATTTTCACGAGGGTATGTTTCCGCATATCACCCGAGAGTCGCCCAGGGGGGTCAAAGTGAGGCCTGCGTGGGGTGGGAGTACACGGCCCCAGTCGTACTAAGACTGTCTGCCGCCGGTTCTGCCGCCACCGTGTGGTCTGTAGCCCAGGCTTTTGCCACATTCAGCAGAAATGCCTTGCATTTCAATTTTGAATGAGGGTTTAGATTTTTGAAAACCAAAAATGAATTGAAAATGGCACANAGTGACGTAACACGTAACGCAGCTGTGACACGGGTAACAGGCAGCAGCGGTACCCACTGCGTAACAGGCGGGCACTGCGACTATATAAGAGAGCTACACTGCCTACGAAGACAGTTGAGTTGGAATCTAGCCAGTGGCGAGTTACGAGTTACAGACGCGTGTGTGAGAATCAGTGATAGTTCATGATAACCGAGTAATAATTGGGAGTGTGTGATACAGTTGCACTTGTATAACTCCCTCGTTATAAAAACGTGTAGACTACTGACAATAGAGTGAACTGAATATTGAATAGGGGTTGTAAATTGTGAAAACCCGTAACAGTGTTATAATTAATTGTAGCCGAGACTTGTAGGTTGTTGAATAAACCAATTAACTATCTCTATGGCGTATTCAGTAACAGAAACACGTTACAATATTATACTCAGGCTTCTTTACTTGTCCATGTCTCCTTTGAACATCAACCATGCTCGAACTGCAAAGTGTGGAAATCATATTCACAACACGAGCATCCCTATCTCCAAAAGACAGTTCTGCTACTTCAGACACTTGTGTTGGGTCTGATGGAATTTGCTTCACCCCTGGATTTCCAGTAAACTGTCCCAAAGCAGGCGTTTTGTCTACTTTTCCCCATGTGGCTCTCCCCGCAATGTTGCTACCCGCACTTTCGTCGTTTGCCCCTGCCACACTCACTATCAGATTGTGAGTCGTTATGACTAGCAGACTCACAAGGGACGTCAGATAGCTCATCGGAGAACAAGTCAGATATTTATTGTTCTCCGGGAAAACGCTTGGACCTCAACCTCTTCTGACCTTGATCCAATTTGCACTAGTAACTTCCTGCCTGGTGCATGCAGCTGGAAGGTGAACAAAGGTATTTTCTTTTGGAGTGAGAAAGGAAAACAGTTGGGTCATAAACAGCGGGGTCATGTTACAGACTACGAAGCAAACATTCAAGAGGTCTATCGCACACCAGTCATGCGTCTGCCTGGCGCCAGTGCAAGGTATACTGTGTTTCAACATAACGTGTCCTAAAGTCAATAATATGCCACCGGTCCACCATGTTTAAAAGCGCTGGGCATAAAAATATGCCACCGGTCTGCAAAGTGTTAAGAGGAAGGAAAGTGGTTGTAGCCTTTTGTAAGATACTATCCTGGCAGTCATATGCAATGATTAAGAGATTAAGAAAACCACAAAGAACCTCAGTCAGGTTTCAAGCTTGGTTCTTCCAAATGCAAGTAAATGGCCCTCCACGAAAACAAATTTGGACAAGAACAGACAAATAAGAATCACAAAAAGAAAACTGAAAGACCAGTAATTTCATTCCAGCTTTGTGGGAAGTGACAGCCAAATCTGGATCACAACTGAACTTGATCATTTAATTTTGTTATACCTGATAAAAAAATGCCATAAGCCATAGCAGTGCTTTTCTATTTATCTTACATATGGATAGGTGGGTTAACAGAATGAAGAAAACAAACTACTGAAGTGTAACATCCTTAACCACATATATGTCTGGCTAACCAGCCTCTCTACTCTATCTAAAGGGATAGGACTACAGGGTGTGATGAGCACAGCATTGGGGTACAAACTTTCTCACCAAGAAGACCATAATAGCTGTACATATTTGAAATTATCACATTTAGAAAGCTCAGAGAGTGAGACAATATGAGGTTCTTTTAAAATATTCATAACGTAAACAAACTACTAAACTTTTCTCAATTTCTGTAAGCCTGTGGTAAGTTTTGCAATGTTCTCCTTGTGTAATTTATATCTAGTAGCTGTAAAGGGCTTTCTTTCACATATATATCAAACATAATTTCAAATCACATTTAGGACTTACTATATCTGCTACAGTAAAACTGCTGTGCCAGATAAGTCCAAGCTCTTACAGCATATACAGGGTGTCCCAGGAGGAATGGACCAAACTTTGGGAGGGTGTTCCTTATGTTAAAGTATGCCGATATAACCCAAAACACCTATGTCCAAAGTTGAACGGTTACGGAGATAATGGCCAGAGAAGTGTCAAACTTTGACCGGCGTTGCATACTTGTTGATTACAAACTACATATTAAAACTGGCAGGAATATGTGGATTCTGTAATGTTAATAATGTACGTAACATCAAACTAACTTGTGAGTGACATGAAGCCATAAAATTGAAGTACAAAATACTCGCTCGCCATGTCATAATTGTCCTTAGGGTTTCCAAGCACTATACATGACACATGAATGGCAAGCGCTGACGTAACGTGCTGACTGCGTGTTCTGGTATAAGCCAACTACATAAGCACGGCTAGGGTGAATCGTCGCACTCAAGGACAAACATAGATAAGGCCTCTCAGCTGACAGGTACAGTGCGTGGACCCGCCAGAAGACCACACTTTTCTTGGGCCATTATCTCCGTAACCGTTCAACTTTGGACATAGGTGTTTTGGGTTATATCGGCATACTTTAACATAAGGAACACCATCCCGAAGTTTGGTCCATTCCCCCTGGGACACCCTGTATATTGCTAGACCCAGGGCTTGAGGTGGGGTGGTATGCGGCAGGATGGCATCCTGGTTCTTTTCTAAATGGCTTAAAAGCATCCCATTACTTCTTTGGCAGTAAATGCAATGTACAATACCTTTTTTGGGAAAACCATCCCGGTTCTATTTTCATTCCACCTCAAGCACTGGCTAGACCTACACAATAAATAGGATTTAAAAGTACACAGATATCCAGGCTGGGCTTGTGACACACACCCAACTGTTTTAACCATTTAATCCTCTAATCAAGACTACATATAAATTAGATTAATTACCTGATATTAAGAACTCGCAGATGCCTCAACTGATCAGCAATTCTTGAAAGAGACTGCCAACTGTGTATCAGATTTCTTGATAAATCTAATTCCTTTATGTTTGGGCAAAGCTGCATAAGTTCTCCCTGTTCACCAGGTCCACTGACATTATGCCCGCGCAACCAAACCACCAAAAGGTTTTGAAACTGGCTGAAAATAAAAATAATTGTTTTGAGCACTTTGTGATTCAGTGGACAATATTGAACAGACTCAGCTTTACAATTTATGAACTCTAGCCAGGAAGAAGTAAAATACACTTCCACAGCCTATTCAGCATTTTAATTGAAACTGGTCTTACTGGAATGAAAATTAAGCAGCAAATAATCTTTACAGACATGCTTATGTGTAATGCATTTCTGTGATAAAAATACAGAAAAAAAGTCCCTAGAGAGGCCCTACAGAGAATCCCTAATTGAATTTTTAAACAAGAAAAAGTTTATGAGGTCAACAATATGTCAGATACTCGTATTAATAATTGCAAGCAATCAAGAAACTGCTACTCCAATAGGATTCAATGCTATGGTCGTCCATTCATGGGTAAAACCCACTAATCCATAAGCTAAATTATGGTATATTTTATTGCCAGCCTATAAACTTACACTGAAAAAACAGCTTTGCGAAACAAGAGATCTTTGAAAGAGGAACATAAGCTTTCAGTGTTCTGACCAGAAATCCTTGCTTGCACTGCAGACACTATAGATAGAGGCCTACAAGAGCATGAAAAAGAAATATGCATAAAAGTTAATGGAATGAAAAAGAGTTCTTACTGCTGGGATAGACAAAAATTTCTATATAAATAAGTATGCAAATTCTTATGAATTAAAATACATATACCAACTCAATGCAGTGTTATAGATTTTCAATATTTTCTTTAATAATTCAATAAAGAGCTACTGAGTCATTAAATTTAAAATACAATACAACATTTTGAAACTTTAAGATGTGAATACACGTACTTAACAGTTGTACTATGACTGAATTTATCAGCCACAATATGAAGCGTCTGATGATGTACTGACCTCTGTTTTCTATTAACTTTGTCAAATCCGACAACTTCTAGGAAAGGGGCATTTATCTTGCATTGCACAAGAGACAAATCTTCCTTGTCGATTCCTGCAGTTTCATCATTCTTCACTTCTCCATATCGATCCCTAATAGCAGCTGGGCAGGACCTGCCTAAATTCACCTTTTCCAACCGAACAAACGATCCTGATGTGGGATGCCTATAATTGTAACAGGCACAGAACACAACACAGTTTTATTTGTGACACTTCTGTCTGCGGATCTGTGCAATTAAATAAATTCTATGCTATTCTGTTCATTAGTATGAGGCATGCACATAGCTATAGTATACTGTTATCTGTAGGTCATTTAATGGTGCTCTATCAATTGCGATCTTCCATAACAGGCGTTAATTTTAGAAATTATTGAAAAAATATTATAATATAAGATATAGATTCATTTTACAATACCTGAAAACAATAGATACATGATGTAACAAGTAAGGTGAAAAGAAGTAAAGTTATCCCTGTGCTTAATTACTTAAACACTATGCCATGTAGACGTATGGGGGAGAGGATGTATAGATCCATATTGTCTTGACCACAGCATTAGTTGGAGGTGACTGGTGAGTTTCACGCCCCGGCTGCTTTACACCTGGGAAGGAGCACTTGGTACCCATTGAATAAGAGGTTGGGTGGACCCCCAGAGCCGGCCTGGACAACACGAAGAGATAATTCTTGACCACACCAGGACTCAAAACCCCGAATCCTCGGTCGTCCAGCCTGCAGCCAGTCACTATACCAACTATGCTATCCCCAAGTTACTGAAAGAAAATTCAACTTTCAGAAATACAGTAGAACTTGGTTATAACGTCATCAAAGGGACCTAAAAATAGTGTTGTTATAAACGAATGTCATTGTAACCGAAATGGGCACTTCCACAGTAGCCTTATGTTAGTCACGTAAAAATCTACCAAAAACAGAGTTTAAATGTTGCATTTTTTAGTGAAATACGTAGTTAAGTACAGACTAACGTAACATTAACATGGAATTAATATGGATTCTCCATATCATTTGTACTGTAGAGTTCACCAAACCAAATTCGCGGCATACATCAGCTTTTTTCCTTCCATTTTCTATTTCACGAATCACTTTAACTTTCTCTTCAATGCTTAAAACTTTCCTTTTCATTGCCATGTTTTCGCTACTGCACTTCTCTGGGTTTAGGCAGGAACACTATAGGGTAAGTAGACAATGTGAGGTCCTGTTAGACGAGATTCTAGGAAAGGAATGCAGTTAACAACCTGCCGCGTCCTCTTGCACTATTCACGCAGTCCCACCCCACACCCTTGTTTTCGCATAAAACCCATGCTCCTCTTGCAGCCCGCGGTCGTATTCTTCCAGGACAATCACGTCAGCAAGTAGAGAAAGTGAGGGTGGGCAGACATATCGAACTTTAACACAATATCAGAGAAAGTCAGGAATGAAAATGACGTTACATACGAGGTTGATGCATTTGTGCATGTCGTACTAAGCAAGGTATAAAAACAGTTGCTTTATGAGGAATTAGTTCGTACCATTGAATATTTGACGCAATAGACAAGGTGTCGCAGAAACCGATGTTGCTATAACCAAGTTTTACTGTACTTCAATAACACTGACATTACCAATTACTAGCTACTAATTTCTTGGCATATGACCTTCCTTCAGCAGTTCTCAGCTGACTGGGAAATTCATTATAGAGCACAAGCTTGCAACTGGAACCTATCCTGAGCCACTTCATTCAAATTCACACCTTTTCGATCAATTTCTTTAAGAACCAGTTGTATGTAAGCCTAGGTCTCTGAAATGACTTCTTCTTTTAAAGGTTTTCCAGTTCAACTTTTGTATGCAATTGCTAGGGAAGTTGGTATAGTGACTGGCTACGGCTGGACGACCAAGGGGTTGGAGTTTGAGTCCCAGTAGTGTCAGGAATTTTCTCTTCTCCATGTCCTCCAGACCAGCACTGAGGCCCACCCAGCCTCCTATCCAATGGGCACCAGGGGCTCTTTCCCCTGAGGTAAAGTGGCAGGGGCGTGAAGCTGACCACTCACCTCCAGCTAATGCCAAGGTCAAGAAAATGTGGATCTACATATCCACTCCCCCATATGCCTTCATGGCACATTACTTAATTAGTTAAGCACAGGGATAACTTTACCTTTCTACAGCAGAAACTTGACTCAAGCAATAATGCTTTTTACCTGTGCTTGAGAGGTGCCTATTCAATCTCAGCCAAAACAATGATTATCATAACTGAAGTATTTTACAGTTTTCCTCAGTCCCTTCAGGTAAGAGCAGGGATAGTGCCTCAAAATACTACCACTCCCGTCCATATCCTTTCCAATCATCTGACCATTTAACACAATATTGTTTGGGATACTGACAGTGTCGTTAAACAAACCATAAATAAACATGATATCAGTTTGTGTCATGTGCATGCACCCAACACACACACACACACACACACAGAGTAAGAAAATTGCAGAAAATAGTGTAGGTTTAGTGGTTAAAATTCATTTACATTTTTATTTATATAGCTTAATAAAAATATTGTTATTTCGGCAAATGCTTTTTTCATTCAGTTATGTTCCGTGAACTTTGATGTATTAATTTTCTGTAATTACTGCCAAATGCCCGAAATTTGCCAGAGGACAATTACTAAATATTCGTTTAAATTCTAGGAATACCAAGCCATTCAGTTTTACTGATGATCAAAGAATGAACATAGTCAACTCATACCCCACTTGATGTGAGCATCTGCTCTCAAGAATATCTGTGATTTTGCAAAGATAGCTTTTTCATAGAGTTCTACTTGTGTGAAATGAATGGAGAGATCATGCACAGTGCACCTGTAAACTAGAATTTTACCCAAAACTTATATACCTTGTACTGAAATATTTCTCTCCTTCATGTGTTCCACTGTGCTTCCCACGTGTAGGATCATCCCAATCCACCCCCAGCCAAGTTCCTCTTGTAGGTGGCACTTCTCCTACATAACGTACTGTACCATAGTAGCCACACAATTCCACTCGCTGACCAGGTTTCACACACAGTTCACTGTTAAGAGTCATTTTGTTGCATGTGGTATGGCTAACAACCAACTCCTGTTAAAAAGAACCAATAGTCTTTAACTTAATAATGCTTCTGACAAAAAAACAATATTTACGATTATCCCACTATAAAAAATGTGAAAGCATGGTTTGAAAAGTTGTGTTTGGTAGCCAACATTAATACCATAATGCATAACCTCAAATGTCTGTAAACTGATATTAGTAACAAATAATTCACATCCAAACCGTTTCATAAGGTACAATTCCACCGCCTTACATGCATAGCACATTCTGTACATCAGAACTACTATCCTGCACCTAAGAAAGTAACATTTAATCCCAGTCCTTCGACCCAAGAACGAAATTCAAAACCCCTGTCACAACCAAATAGGGCACTGATGTGTATCTCAATGTTACTGACTGGAGACCTAGCCACCGATGTAGCACAAATGCACTTTGCTGTCATCTATTTTCCTCATTCATTATATTGCTGCAAAATGGCTGTAGCCGCCGACATGGGTCGGGAAAACTACTATCGTACTAACCTCTTTCCTTAATATTGTCACGTATTTTGGGGTGTGACTACTTTAGGGTTTTTGATTGATAACCGGACTTATTGCACACTTAACAACTCGTTACTACACTACACAAATCACTGTATGACACACTGTATCTGCTTCGGTCTTCACTAGCCGTTGCTTGGTAACGGATGTTAACAATGGATATTCATAATGTTATATTTTAGCGTCCTGTTGCACTGATTTTCATCCATTATATGTATACAGTGGCCGTCTTGTAGTGCACACAATTTCACCTGTCACGTCGCAACATTTTTCGGCAACACAGTGCCATCATCAGGTGTCCCAACTACGTCAATCTATTGCATTGCCTGCCTTCATATGTTTTCACCGACCATTTAAAAAGTATTTAAAAAGTCCATGTTTGTCAACTATGATAAATTTACACTCCTCTGCTTCCATGCTCAGGTCCCGAATAAAACTGTAAATGTTACTTTATGCCTGGTGGTTTACCGCCAATCAGTTCGTCTTGATGTCAAGCTCCTCGTAACTCACAGCTTGAAACGCACATTTCGACCGATTGCGACTTACGGTGAGTTAGCAAATCGCACCGGGAATGTCGAACCCGGTCGAGCCCCTTCAACCGATTGGTGTTGGTAGACCTGTCAGGTCTACTATTTCATCGGTGACGTGTGCAGGACGATGCCTGCCAAGAGCAGAAGACATGATTGGTCACAGCGAAATAAGTTTCTTATATACGTTTTGCAATTGGCTGTTCCTCCCATCCGAAAAGTTTGTAAATACAAATGGCACGTGACAAGTAAATTGTTGACGGAAATAAAAATAAGGACGATAAGGACCATAAGGACAGTGTGTTGTCTGTGTTGTAAAGAGAGGGAAGAGAGGAGTTATTTGCGGATTTCAGCGTATTTTTGATAAAACTGGTAAAAGTGCCAATTTAAATCAGTTGTAGTTATACGCAGATTTGAATTTAAGTACTAGAGGCCCTGATTACCAAAGTAAAAATCAGCGAGGTGTAATCATATTGTCCTCTTTCAGCAGACAAGACTGAATCCATGAAATATTAAATAAAGACACTTAACGAAGAATACAGTTAATCTAGAGACGTGTTATACTCAGTATAACTAGTATAAATGCAAATTGTATATCTTTATCAGTAGGCCAAAGTCCAAGTGGTTAAATTCTTTCAATGCGTAGAATATTCCACGATTAATATACGGCTAATAATTTGAACGTTATACTTATGTGAAAATATACATTTATGGCCCAGATATTCCTGACCTAGTTCGATATGGAGTTCCTCAAGGCTCCATTCTTGGTCCATTACTTTTCGTTTTATATGCGAATGATGTACTGCATCTGACACAAGGCAGAACAGTTCGACGATGATACATCAATACCGAATATAGGAAAAGATAAATGAACTCCAAAAAGAACCTCAGAAAATACAGGCTTAGTAGAGCAATATTTTGAAACAAATAATTTATCTATCAATCCAACCAAAACACATTGCATTCTCTTCCAGGTGAATCAATGCAGGCAGGAAAGGAATTAAAAATCCTAATTCATTCATTCATTTTATATAGCATTCATGATTGCTACAACAGTAACACTTGAACAGGTCACATCATTAAATACATCATTCTTGAAATCCTTTTGCCCAAATGCGTAAAAGATTAGAATATGTCAAAAATAAATAATTACCCTTGACATGGTTAAAAGTACAATTAAAATATAACAAACACTATCAGAACCAGATAAATAATCAAATTAGATACAATACCATAATGTGTATATGTTAACCGTCTTTTAGTGCATACAATTTCACTTGTCACTTCACACTACATTACACACGAGTTTGATATACGAAGATGATAGATCTTAATAAGTTTTAATATATAAATTTCATTATTGAACAATGACAAACACACATTTTATATTGTTTTATAAATGGACACTTGATAGCAGGCAGTGCAATGGTTTAACATAATTATACACCTGAGGATGGCAGAATGATGCCGAAACATGTAGTGTGAAGTGACAAGTGAAATTGTATGCACTAAAAGACGGTAAATATATACACATTATGGATACGAATCAGTGCAGCAGGACGCTAAAATACAACATTAGATACAATACATAAATCAAAATGCAAGTTGATTTAAAAAATACCTGTCATACTAGTTTTGTTAACCTTATGAGTTTATCAAGAGAATTTTAAGAGTATTACCGTAAATCAAAATTCCTACATATGACCATGCCAATCACAGGTCACATTAAGATACAGAAGCAACCATCTGTTATCTATTTCAGTTGCTGAATAGAGGTTTTGCTGTGCTTACTTTTGTCCCCCTAAATTAAACTCGTACACTGTATAGAATGGATGATCTAGTGAATATACTTTTAACTTATGAGTTTGATTTGTTTCATTCTGGTCCGTCACAATAACAATTACAATTATAAATCACTCCGTCCAATGTGACTTGTAAGTTTTTTACTACATAAAAACTTAACACCCTCACATGTTTCGGTCTCTGTGGACCATCTTCAGAGGGCAAACATCACTACAAATAGGAAACCACCATCACATAATTTGTTTACACGTAAAGTACGTACACTTATATGCTACAATACATAGTACACAGAATAGAACATTTCACAAACACAGCAGTTTCCTGGGAATGTAAAGTTTTTAAAAAAATTGTATAAAATTCCTTGATGCTAATTAAAAGTTTTTTAGATTGTCAATAATTAAAATTCGTAAACCATGCAGGCTCGTGTTCGTCCTCCCATCGTCTCTCTTATATGGGGCAGATATTGTGCCACCTGGCTATCTTGATGTGGAGGTTCTTTATATCGTCCAGGGTTTGCTCGTGGCAGCCATGAGCAAACCCTGTATTATGGTTAGATTTATCCCCTTCTGGCATCTGGGATTGTTTTATGAGGACAGAGTGCAAAGGCATTTGTGAGACCAATATTTACACAGCAGGGTTAAAACAACTAGAAACATATAGAGATAGTTTTAGGAAACTGAAGATATTAACAGTATACTCAATATACTTTCAAGAAGCAATCTTATAAACATAAAAAAGTGTAACATATAACACAAGAAATAACAATGAATATCGTTGGTATGTACATAATTCAGAACTTTATAACAGTAAACCAACAGTAGCAGGTTGTTTCTTCAATAACAAATTGCCTAACAACATAAAAGACATAAGTAACAACAACCAGTTTTAAAAGGAATTGAAGGACTTGCTCATTAAGAGATGCTATTGTTCAATAGAAGATTATCCCAATGAAGAATTCCGTAATATTGGATATTGATAAACAGATATATAGAAATAAGCTATATTTCTAATAAGTTTATACCATAATCAGTAATGTATTTCAATAATAATAAATGGACATATCTTATATCAGTGTATTTTGATCTACAGGATAAAATAAAAATGAATGAATGAATGAAAGTGTTAATAATGCTGACTTTGATGGTTATGACAGCACTAGTGCATTTTATGTTAAATGTTTAAGGTACATGTAAGACTCAATAATCATCTTACATAGAAGACAAAGAAATTAATTTCTCAACAGTGAAGTGCAAGAGAAGTAGTGAGTTTTTATTTTTTGGTGGGGGGTTACAAAATTTAGTGCCATAAGAATATAATGTAGCCTTCTTAGAACCCTGTGGGTCTTCATGGCCTGTTTCAGGGATAGCTTTACCTTTACCTTCGTAGAAAATGGGCATTCATCCACGTTGATCAAGGATAGCAAATTTCAAATCCTCTCAGTATATTAGTACCTTCTAAAAAAATATGAAGCAAATGATGTTATGTGAATCCATTGTCTGCAGTTACAATTAAAGGTCAACTTAGTGTGTCAAATATAAATGTCAAGGTCAAAATTAATGTAATTATTTTGTTTGTTTCTGTGATGAGATGGCCAAAACAGTTTCTTGAGACTGCCCTTTGTTCACTTCAGAGAAGGTCATATTCTTTTATCATTTTCTTCATAAATGAAACATCCTCTTCTGAAGAGAACAGCATTCAGTGTTTCTATATACCTGCCACATCTGTTACTATATATGTCTACTTTTATTACTATCAGTAGCCTATTAATAATAAATTATAGAATAACCATTGGCACCTTCTAGTGTGATTCAATTTGAAATATTTATTGCATTTACATGTTTTGGTCAGATAATCATTTTCAGAAGGCATTTGATCATGTTGATCTTATGCCTTCTGAAGATGATCAGCTGACAAAAACATGTAAAGGCAATAAATATCTACAAATTGAATCACATTGGACGGTGTTAATAATTACTCTGTAGTTTCGTTTTCTAGTGTGACATACTGGAATGAATAGAGTTAAGCTTATTAATAAAAAATTAAATATTGTAATTATGTTATTCTATTTAAGGTTTACTTCTGTCCTGTTTTGTTCGAAATGTCAGTTTTGATTTGCATCTGGTGTCCTGTACTTAAATGACAGATAACCACCTTGGCAGGATTTTAAGAGAACTTCTGTGTTGTTCTTTGTCATATCTAAAAATGTCTCCAGTAAATTAATGTTGTTGTCATACACTAGTAACTAGTGTATTCCTTGTACAAAAGATTACCAGCCCCGTCCAGTATGATTGATAAATGTTTTTTCTCCTTTTAATCTTTCATCCTTGACATGTTTCAGTCTGAGAGACCATCTTCAGAAGGTGTGATCGATAAATGTTTTTTCTCCTTTTTAATCTTTCATCTTTGACATGTTTCGGTCTGAGAGACCGTCTTCAGAAGGTCTCTCCGGCCAAAACATGACGAGGATGAAAGATTAAAGAGGAGAAAAAACATTTATCAATCACACTGGATAGAGTTGATAGTCTTTTATACTACTGCAAGTGTGCTGGACCAGGATGAACCAAATCAAATTTAGTGTATTCCGTTCATTTACAGTGTGTCTGGGTAATTTAGCACTTTCCTAATTACTTATTCTGAAGTTAAATGAAAATGAGAAATATCCCCTTGTTTTAGACTTCATATATGAATTGTATGAGAATTATGGCTACAGGTGTCTTGTAAGACTACAAATTACTGACATGCTGAACCACTCTATTTTCTTTTTTCTTAAATGTGAACTGAGTACAGAAAATCTGGTCTGCATTTGGGCTCTTACATTGGAGTTCACATTCATGATCTACGTTAATTTCTTATATGTATGGAGTTGTATAGTGACTAGGCTATGGGCTGGATGACTGAGAACTTGTTTAAAGTTTAATTCCTGGCAAGAGCAAGAGATTTTTCTGCTTTCTGTAGTTTTAAGACTGGCCTTGAAGCTCATGTGGCATCCTGTCCAGTGGGTACTGAGCGATATTTCCCCATAGTGAAACTGGATGTGGCATGAAAATGATCACCCATCTCCATCTAATGCCAAAGCTAAGAATGCATGGAGCTATACCTCTATTTCCCCATCATTCTTATTGTGTGGTGCCTAATTTAACACATGGACAGTTAACCTTTACTTTAAATATGAAGCTAACCTTATGTAAAAATTATTGCATGAAGTTTTGTGTGAAAGTGATAAATGCTGAGGTTCCTAGAATATTGCTGCCATCTGTTTTATCGTCTGTTTGTAAATGATACAGTTTATTCTCTCCATTGTTAGGATAATCTTGCACATTGCAAATAGAATGTGTGAGGTTGTTTATTTTGTTTTTCTGCTTCAACCAATTCTGCTGTGATTTTATCAGTACTGGTACCTGAAGATTTGTATGTTTCCAAACTTTGAACAGCAATGTCAACTTCATTGAAACTAGAATCAGGTTCCATTTTGTATAAGTGATCTGTACATATATTAAATGTTATTTTAAACTATATTAACGTTTGGAATTATATCAGTTTGAAGGTGGTCCTCCTTAGGCTGGTTTTACCAGTCATGAACTTCATTGTGAATAGTCTGATTACTTGTATAAGCATAATAAATGATTGGGGTTTATTGCTAGCTACATGAATATTTGTGGCATGCACAGCCATTTTTGATTGTAAGGTAAAGTTGTCCTTGTGCTTAACTAATTAAGCACTGTGCCATGAGAGCATATGAGGGAGGGGCCTGTACAGAGCCACATATTCCTTACCTTGGCACTAGTTGAAGGTGGGTGGTCAGCTTCATGACCCTGCCGCTTTACCCGCAGAGAGAGAGCCCTTAATACCCCCTGGATTGGAGGCTGGGTGGGTCCCAGAACTGGCCTGAACAATGTGGAAGGAAGAAAAATCTTGCACCTACCAGGGCTTGGTCTCCAACCTGACAGCTCCCGATTTATGATTGTATTTTTTTTAATGAATTGCCCTGTTTAGCCTGTAAATATAATGCTGATACGAACGGAGCAAGACTTGCCTACCATATTTTTGTAGTCATTTAGGTTTGAATTTTACAGCATACCAATAATAATAAAGTAAAAATTAAAGTTGTCCCTGTGCTTAACTATTAAGCCCTATGCTGTAGTAAAAATTAAAGTTGTCCCTGTGCTTAACTATTAAGCCCTGTGCTGTGAAGGCATATGGTGGAGTGGATGTATAGATCCACAATTTCTTGTCCTTGGCACTAGCTGGAGGTGAGTGGTCAGCTTCATGCCCCAACTGTTTACCCCCACGATAAGAGCCCCAGTACCCATTTGGTAGGAGGTTGGGTGGACCCCAGAGCCTATCTGGCCAACATGGAGAAGAGAAAATTCTTTGCCCTACCAGGACTCAAACTCTGACCCCTTGGCCATCCAGCCTGTAGCCAGTCACAATACTGTCTACACTAACCTGCCTCCCTTGCTGGTAATAATGACCAAATTAATTACTACAAACATATTATGATTGACAGTTGATGGCCACAACTGTTTCAAAGCAAAATTTTTAAAGTAAACAGTATGTGTAAACATAGTGAGGTTGGATACAATAGTGTGAGAAATTTGCGTCATGTTGTGCAATGACATTTTGCTTATAGCTGGCTAGCTGGTGAAGCAGGTGTCAGTATTTAATGGAATCTGAAGATCTATTATTATGTTAATGTAATTACCATTGGATGGTATTCTCAGAAACATTATTTTGGATGTACATTTTTGTTTGCATTAATTTATTCTTCAATGAATCATTCAATAGATGTAAAATCTAATTTAATAGTGCAGAATGTTTTAAATTCATAATATTTATACTCTTTTAGGAATACCTGCAGGGTTTCTGATTATATTTTTTTCCCAAGTATCTATATATCATGGGCCTGTTTGAACTAAACCATGTTTTAATGAGATTTTTTGTAAATTATCAGGTAATTATTTACTCTCCAAACGAGATCTTCTCTTACTTTTTTATATGCTGCTGTGTTTAGTGAGGTTCCACAAGAAACAACATTTGCTGTTATTAGACAGTGCAGTGGACTGCTGAGAAACAAGTTGTGTTTCTTTTGGAGACCAATAAAAAGTTAACCTATGTCCTCCCTTTGATGAAAAGCCTTTTCATCCTGCTTATTATTAATATAGTTTTGTTTTGTGATCATACCTATGAAAGAATGGTACAATGCAAATAAGAAGAAGTTCATCAGTCATCATTGTTTGAGTAAAGTGAGTTAGAGTTATTCTGCTACTTCTGTCATTGAATTTGGGAACATGTCAGGAAGGTACTATTCTCAGCCAATTTGTGTTGTGTGCTCCATGAATGATGTAACACTTAATAGAAGTTAATGAATGTTGCCATAATGTGGAAACCCATTTGGATGGAGGGAAAGATGTTTTATATATTCTAATGTGGTAAAAAGTGTTATATTTCATTGTTCCTGGTACTCTGGAGAATAATAGGGAATAAATTGGAAGCAATCATTGCCAGTTCTGATGTATCATCCCATCATTAATGTGGTAGAACTAAAGAAAAATACTGAAAACTTGCCTTGACTCTGGCTCAAGGTAAGAGTGTAGTGGGAGGTTAGGTAATAAGACAGATAGACCTGTTGTATGTTTGCTGTCATTTGTTATAGAAATATATCAGTGTCATCAGCAGTTTGACCAATGAGGCTATACTCAGTATGTTTCATGTAACCTGCCTGAACTGCTGTAATCCTAATTGTGAGGGTGATAAATTATGATGGTGTAGAGCATGTAGCATGCATGGGAAAATGTGAAGAACTTCCAGAATTCTGTGTGAGAAATCATAAATGAAAATCCTACTTGGGAGACCTAGGTGAAAATATAAGCATCACATTACAATAAGGCCTTAGAATAACTTATTGAGTCCGCTCTCTCTGAAGCCAGGATCGTGGGTTCTTTGAGATTGTATGGTGAGCCTAACTCGAATTATAAATTGATAATAATACAATTTAGTGACCTATTTTTATTCATAATTTCCACTAGTATAGAACCCACTAAATTAAAGTCACCAGACATAACTTAAGAAGTTTTACACTGTTGCCATATTTGAGATTTTTAACATACATATATACAGTGGAGGCTCAATGTATTGTGGGTTGTTATATCTCAGCAGTGATCATGTCCACCAATACAATTACATATTTTACATGTTGGTTATGTGGTATAGTGGTCAGAGTTCCTGGCTACAGTGTTTCTCCTAACATTAACTGTTAACATTAAGTAGTTTGGTAAATTTCCTGATGTTTCATTACAGATTATAGGTTGCATTAAATTCTTTGGGGTCAACAATATACTGATATTTGTAACTGCATTATGTGCAGCAATGTGAAAGCAGAATATTACATTTTAATATCTAATCTAAGAAGTTTTAGTGACAAGATGTCATTTATTTCTGCAGCTCTGTTGTACGTGATGATTGCAGTATTATAATTGTACACAATAGTAGTAAACACACTGTATACAAATGTTGCTGATAAAGGGCAGACCAGCATGTTTACTTTATTTATTGGTATTGGTTTTGTTGTTGCGGGGGGGGTGATTTTTATTGTTGTTGTCAGCCTAAAATATAATGGTATGTAACAAGTTTAATACATCATGTGGTTTGTTCATATTCATCATTAAAATGATTCAGTACTTTACAGCAGTCTCTCACAAACCACAATGGTTATGAACTGTGATTTAACCAAGTTGCCTGTTCCATCCCTAGAAAAATAAGAATAAAAAGAGGGATAACTAAATATAAAAATAAATTAGACAAATTCTTGAAAACTGCCATAAAAATGAACCACAATGGCCATTTTGATGCTATAAAACCAGTTTTGGGTGTCATTACAGCCCTGCTCCCAGTAGATGTATATCTCATGGTGCAGCAGCCACCATGTTTTCTGCTTGTACACAGATTATAATCTATAGATGTGTAAAACCAAATACTATGGTTGCAAAAACTAAATATGAATAGAAAACCACAGATCATTAAAGTTCATGGTTGTCAAGAGGAATTGCTATATATTTTCTAAGTAACTCTACATGTCTGTGTTAGATTCTGTTTAATATATCTATTACATGCCTACAAATATGGCAGAATAAAAGTAATTTCATGTGTTCATTGCACTTTTCATATAAAGTGAGTGCAAACTGGAGAATGGATTTGTCCATTCATGTGTTTCATGTCCCACGCAAGTTGACAGATAGGAAGAAATCTGGTCTGTGATGCCTACACTAAAAGTTGCTGGTTGAATTTAATTTGGTTTGCAGTTTTATATGAGGGTGTTTGTAGGTGCTCTGTGATGAAATTGAACTTTTTGAGCTCCTCAGAGATGGCTTTTCATATAAGTATGTGACAAATTGTATACCCCATTAGGCTCTATAACTTTTTAAACTTTTTTGATATGGTATACATTAGCAAAATATGTAAGTTGATTTGCTTTAGTAAAGATATATTTGAATTTTGCAAGAAATTAACATCAGAATCTTGTACTGGGATATACATTTGTAAATAAGATTGTTGACCCTGAAGACAGGGGCAACCTCTTACTTGAAAACATTGTACTCATGTATGAGACTACATCCTGTCACAATCCAGAAGACTAAAATCTGAACAGTCACTACTGTGAAAACCTCAATATATTTGGGCACTCTGTATTTTGAATGAAGTACACCTTTTCTTTCTTATTTCACAGTATCCAGGCTTCAACTATATTAGATTTTCATCCATGATATGTATGTAATGGCCGTCTTGTAGTGCACTCAATTTCACATGTCACTTCACTACATGTTTCGGCAACATTGTGCCATCCTCAGGTACTTTATTTACGCTAAGCTATTGCATTGCTTGCCATCATGTGTCTTTCATAAAATTATTAAAATGTATATTCTTCATCAACTATAATAAAATTTGTATACACTAAAACGTTAAGATTATTCATCTTATACGTCTTAATTCAAACTCGCGTATTGTATGGTTCTTCCACTGTGGGAGTCGTTTTTCCTACATTTTTTGTATACTGTGTCTTGTGATGTGTCTCTCCTTTTTGGCTGCGAGCGTTGTAATGTTGGATGTGTGTGTGTCTTCGTATTGATTGGATTTTGCTGTTGTCTTCATTCATACATTGTTGTCTTGTACAGTGAGGTTCAGTGGTTCATAGTAAATGATTTTGTTGCAGAAAGCATGCCAGTTACAACTGGAAAATATGGTCCACTTGTTGGCGCAATAGATGAAGGAACAAGCAGCTCTAGATTTTTGGTAACAATTTCAGACTGTTCCCCATAATAATTATACTGATGACAAGAATTGTCAGGCATAGCTTTATGATTACAAAGGCTATTTATTGAATACACATGAGCTTCTCTATCTTAACAACTTTAGATGAATATCATTCTTATAATTATTGCTTAGTATCCATTATGCTTCTTGGCTTATGTGTACTTAATAATAAGAATACACTATGAGACTTTCTCATGCCTGCAAGGACTTGAAACTTTTGAAACACTGATTCATTTTGACTCATATGATGTTCAGTTTTGTTCTAGTTAAGCAGTGATAAGGAACACATGCTATCAAGGTGAAAGCATTAGTGAATCTTATTTCTAATATAGGATATTACATGAAAGCAGTAACATGAATAATGCTACAGAAGTGACAGAGATATGTAATACCATATTTTTTAACTTTCTAATATAAGTATTTTATTTTTAGTTGAAGAATGTAAAGTATCCTAGAAGACAATGGGAAAAATGTGTTAATAAAAGGAAATAAATTATAGTTACTGGCTTCGCTTATGAAGTTTGAAATATACACGTATGATAGGATTCTGTGAATAATATGGCTTTAAATTCATCCTTTCCTAAGAGTAACAAATACAACTAAGTCTTGATTTTTTGAGTTAATAGTAAAAGACAAAGCATGGTAAATATGGAACCAGAGATAATAGAAGAAAGTAGTAAATGCCACTTGTACACTTTAAAGAAGTCTATCTCAGCTTGCAGTTTCATCATCAGCTTTGCTTCAGTTTGTCAGTGATAATTGCCTGTTAGCTCTAAAGATTTATTGTAATGTTATGACTGACTTGTTCATTTTGCCTTGGGTAAGTAGTTTATCATCTTTTTTATAATCCAACTTACAGGCATAGTGGTAATGGATAAAATCACGTAGACTTGAAAATAAAAACTGCAATTCTTGTTGTCGTGAAAAATTTGACATTTACTGATGTCGGATAATCTAAAAGATGTACGCAGTGACTCTGTATGTTTCATATGCTTTATTTACATTGCTGTGCAACTCTGAAACTCTGAAATTGTGGTGTATTAAAAAACTATTTGTTTGTATTTTCTGCTTCTAATTGTCTATCAGCAGCCTCCTAAAGTATGGCCATGGGGCTTTGAATCACCTTGAGTGTGTGTGTGTGTGTGTGTGTGTGTGCATGCTTGCACACCTTACCCATCCCTCACCTCTGTTATATTCAGAATTCCATACACAGGGTGAATATCAGATTACCCACATGTTCGAGGACCACATTATTTGATGAGACCTATAGGTCATCCTCTTCATCTTCATCATATTCTACCATGTAAGTGACAAACTACGCATCTGTTCCTTACCTATGCCATATGGACAGTGACCAGAAAGGTGAAGAGACAGAAGTAATGGGAAGCATAATAATAATAATAATAATAATAATAATAATTTTATTTAACGTTCATCACAGTTACAAATTGTAACTCTCAAACAAGTCACATACATATACAACTTTTCCAGCCTAATTGGCCTCGTGCCCAATTGATTGATCGTCATCATATATCACATAACATAACATTCAATTACAATTAAAATCACACTCTTGGTATAATTAAAATATATTAGGTACAATCAAATTTATGACTACCTTTCATTATAAAAAACAAGGTCATCTTACTATATATATCTTAATTACCACCGTCATATTCTTAAACTTAAAACCTATTATATCAAAATAATCCACAAAAGATAAAATTCAATTTAGATAACGATTAAATAATTTTAAGACTTCCAGTCCCTTTATAGGCTGAATCATATTAAAACTTCATCTAATTACTAGTCATTTTATTTACACTTAAATCTATTTATCAAGGAGAATCTTATTCATTTAACTGTCTTTCTGAGAGGAACTCATGCAAATTATACAATGGGTGTTCCAGTAAATATCTTTTGAGTCTATGTAGGAATTCTCTATCTGCTTTTACCATTCTTAGTTCCAAAGGCAGTCTATTATAAAGCTTAATAGCCATATTTATAACACCCTTCTCATATGTTAAGGTATTATAACTTTGCATGTGAAGGTCTTCTTTCTTTCTTTCTTTCTTTCTTTCTCATGTCATACTTATGTAGGTTAGAGTTTTTTGTGGTGTAAATGTTATATTTCTCTAAAATATACAAAGATGTTATGTTAAAATTTTTAATTCTCAAAATATAGGTTCACATGATGTTCTTTTGTTACACCTTTCATTATTCAAAGAACCCTTTTTTGCAAAATCATAATTTTTTTACTTTCACTTTCTCCCCCCCCCAAAAAAACATCAAACCATAACTTATTTGAGATTGGAATTTAGCAAAGTACACATTCCTAAGGACATATGGGCTTACTTCTCCTTTCAAAGTTTTAATAATGTAATACACCTTACTGAGCTTTGTACAGACCAACTGAATATGAATGTTCCATTTTAATTTGTGGGTTAAATTAATACTAAGAAACCTAAACTGTGCTGTATAATTAATTATTATATTTTTAAAGGTAATTACTGGCCCAATGCTATCTTATAGTTCATTCATATGGAAATACATTGCTGTAGTCTTCTCATTATTTATTACCATATTATTCATTGAAAACCACGATTTGAGTTGCTTCGTTACCTTATCTATTTTGTCTTGAAGAATATTTTTGTTCTTTTCTATTACCAGTATACTGGTATCATCTGCAAATAGCACCACTTCCCCATTAGTTATATGGAAGGGTAGGTCATTTATGTAAATCAAAAACAAAAATGGGCCCAAGGTTGACCCTTGTGGAATCCCTACATTAGAAATAATATTGGATTGAACTGGCTTGGATAGGGACCAGTGGAGGGCACTCGTGAACATGGTAATGGACCTTCGGGTTACATAAAATTCTGAGAAATTCTTGAGTAGCTGCAGAATTGGGGGTTCCTCAAGAAGGGCTCAGCTCCATGAGTAAGTAAGTATATTCTGCAAAAATTGGAATAACTTACACAGTCTAATGAATTAAGGTGAACAGATGCAAGAATATATGTGTGAATGTATCTCAGATTCAATCTGATGTTGTCCTAGTAGAGTCAAACAATTTCCTGTTGAATGTAAAGAAAATATGTTCCATAGCAAGAAAACATTGTACTGAGATGATGTCTTAACACTGTGTCAACTTTTCTTTTTAACCAGGATTAAAGTTCAAAATAAGTTTCAAAGTCATTGTGCTGTACAACTGATATTATAATTTTTAATATGAAATTTGCAATATTAGCAGCACAGGGAAAATAATTTCATTTTGTGTATATTCAGTAGAAAGTTGCCTCCATGCTGTTGATGGGTCTCTCTCTCTCTATCTGTCTTTCTGACTGAGAGAAAGGCCCTTTTAAATTTTAACCACTGTGTTCTTTAGTTTTAACATATTTCTTTTATAGATATTTTCAGCACATACAAGAGAAGTGGTAGGATCTCACCAGATTGAAATAAAGAATACATATCCGCAAGAGGGTTGGGTGGAGCAGGATCCAAAGGAAGTTCTAACAGCTGTCAAAGAATGTATCAACAAAGCTGTGGAAATGCTCAAAGCTGATGATGTGGACCCATCAGATATAGTTGCTGTTGGAATTACAAATCAGAGAGAGACAACTGTTGTATGGGATGCAATAACAGGAGAGCCATTACATAATGCAATTGGTATTAAATTTGTTGCTATTAAAAGAACTTTTTTCCCATGATTACATGTACATAGTTCCATTCAGTTGAGTCAGCTTGAGCTTTTACTGTAAGGGCAGATTTACGGTTTATTAAGTTGAGGAAGTGGAAACACCATGATTTAATGATTTTTCAGCCTTAATCACGATCTTGTAAAGCCTGTTAGTGACATAAGTTGGACAGTAATTTTCCAGGTTCCAGTAGGTAATTTCAAAAAGGAGTTAAATTATACCTCATCATGAAACTATTAATTTATGATATGATGTTCTCAAAATGGTGGTTATGAAGAGCTCTGTCTTCTTGGATATAATGTCATGTAGTACATTGTAAGTCAGTCAACATTTCAGAGGAACTCTGCTCCTCTAAAACAGTTGTTCTCAACCTTTGTGAGACCATGGCCCGGTAAATTCTTTTTTTATAATACAAGGGCCCAGTTTAATTGATGCCAGGGCCCAGTGGTTGAGAAACACTGCTCTAAAATGTCAATTGACTTTCAGTGGACTACACAGCATTACATCCCAGAAGATATACATCTTGTGTATTAATTTAATTTGCCAAGAAATACCAACTTCCCTTGCTTTTATTCCAGTTTTGTGCTAAGGTGGTTTTGCATGGCCATTATAGTTCCTGCAGTAGTGTGTATTTTCATCCATTATATGTATACAGTGGCCGTCTTGTAGTGCACTCAGTTTCACCTGTCACTTCACAACATGTTTCGGCAACATAGTGCCATCATCAGGTGTCCCAATTACATCAATCTATTGCATTGCTTGCCCTCATATGTTTTCACAACACCATTTAAAAAGTATTTAAAAAGTCCGTATTTGTCAACTATGATAAATTTACACTCACTAAAACTTGTTAAGATAATTCATCTTATTTGTCTTAATTAAAACTTGCATGTGGTTCGTTCACTACGGGGTCGTTTTTCTTATTTTCAGTGTAAACCGCGTCTTGTGTTGTGTGTTCCCTTCTTAGCTGCTAGTGTTGTAATGTACATGTAATGTGTTGCCGAAACATGTTGTGAAGTGACAGGTGAAATTGAGTACACTACAAGACGGCCACCGTATACATATAATGGATGAAAATCAGTGCAACAGGACGCTAAAATATAACATTAACAGTGTGTATTTTGTCAACGAAGTTCACATGTGCTTTGTACTAACTTTTTTCTTTTTCATCACATGAAGAGGACTGAGCACATCTTAATACTGTAGCATGTAAATACATTTGATTAGTGTTAGTTGTCAGAAATATATAATCTACTTTTGTCAGTTACATTTACACAACTTATTCACACCAAGTAGTTGCTAGACAGAAGCGTGCTCAGACTAAAAGCACAGAGTGCCTTAGATTTTCTCCACCCATGCTGCTCCCTTTTCAGTCAGTTTTATTTTTAGAGTTGTGTGTTTTTATTCCACAGTGGATAACTGAACTGGCGTGTTTAAACACAATAATTCACTTTGTGTCTACATTTTGGTGATAGTGTAACTGTTCTTCCCTATATTGATGTGCAGGGCTGTTGCAGATTAATTGAATTGTATGTAGACTAAATAAGACTAAATAAGATACAAAAATGAAAGTAACATTGTTAGAAACAGTAACTCACAAAGTGTTGTTTCCACTTTAAAGGAGTTCAATGTGTGCTCCACAGGTTACTCTGGCCATGTCCAAACAGTATTCAAAATCATCCCATGCTTTGCATGTGGTACATCATCAGTAGATGCCACATCGTGATGAACAGTATTTTAAAGTTCTTGAAGATTTTGCAGCAGAGGTGGGACATAAACTTTATCTTTAATATAGCCCCAAAGGAATAAATCCCTTGGTTCCTCACTTTAACTTCCATCTATGGAGGACGTGAAAAGGAACATCTCATCCAGATTCTCAGGTTTCCTTTGAAGAAAACATACAGAGTCCCTGAAAAGGGCCATCTTCACCCCCCTCCCCCTATTCTCACTATTCAAATAGCCCCTTTGGTGAAACACTAAGTGTGCCCCTTAGAAGGGATGTTTTCCTACCCACCTTTCCCATGCACCTGGATTGGGCTCCTTTATCCCCTTACTTGGGTCTTGCGGCCATCATTCTTGCATACTTCTCATATAAGTGAGCCAATTCCTGGATCTATACACTTCAACCATGAAAATACAGGCAACATGCTCCTTCAAAACTCGGTGTCTGCTTACTATATTACATGGTGTCACAATCCAGAAGACCACATTTTGAACAACCACCACTGTTAGAACCTCACCCTATATTTGCCTGCTATTACTTATACTCTTTAGATGTTTCATGCTTGATAATTTGACCCACTTGTCCAGGTACTGAACAGTTTGTGTTGTTTTTCAGTTTGGCTGGACATGAGAACAGCATCGACAGTGGATGCAATGTTGAAAAATGTGCCTAACAAAAGTTTGAATTATTTGAAGCCTTTATGTGGATTGCCAATCAGCCCATACTTCAGTGCTCTGAAGTTGCGCTGGCTTATAGACAATGTTCCTGAAGTTCAACAGGCAATAGATGAGAAACATTGCTGCATTGGCACTGTAGACACATGGCTTATTTGGGTAATCATACTGTTAATTTTACAAAGCATGTACAATGAACTTATGGTCACCAAGTGTTTCATCTTGAGTTCTCATCCATCTGGCAATATTTCAAAGAATATTTACCAATTTTATAAAGTTTTTCAAGAACACATTTACAATGTATATGTGTTCACCTGCCAAATAATAGTTCTTCTAGCCACCACCAGCAGTGCTACCCTTCCCTCACACAGGTTCCATTACAGTAGAGCCAAGTTGAATTTGTGATCATGTTATACAGTATGTGTGTCTGAAATCTTTCACCTGTCAATCCACTATGTCATGTAGGAAGTCTCCTACACAAGAACTAAAGCAAAATCAAATCATTTTGACTTTGTGCTGGATTTCTATTAGAGTTCTTTTTCGTGCAACCAACAGATTTGTTTAATTAGCAAACCCCATTCTTCATATTGTAACGTGTTTCCGTTACTGAAGACGCCGTAGAGACGGTTAATTGGTTTATTTAACAATCTACAAGAAACGGCTACAATTAATTATCACACAGTTGCGGGGTTTCACACTTTATAACCCTAATCGCATTAATCTGTTAACACTGTTGCGGGGTTTCACACTTTATAACCCTATGCGCAAATCAGTTCACTCTGTGTTCAGTAGT